GATGCGGGTTGGATGCAGTTGGATGCGGGTTGGATGCAGTTGGATGCAGGTTGGATGCAGGTTGGATGCAGGTTGGATGCAGGTTGGATGCGGGTTGGATGCATGGTTGGATGCGGGTTGGATGCAGTTGGATGCGGGTTGGATGCAGGTTGGATGCAGGTTGGATGCGGGTTGGATGCATGGTTGGATGCAGGTTGGATGCAGGTTGGATGCAGGTTGGATGCGGGTTGGATGCATGGTTGGATGCGGGTTGGATGCAGTTGGATGCGGGTTGGATGCAGGTTGGATGCATGGTTGGATGCGGGTTGGATGCAGTTGGATGCGGGTTGGATGCAGGTTGGATGCAGGTTGGATGCAGGTTGGATGCAGGTTGGATGCGGGTTGGATGCAGGTTGGATGCGGGTTGGATGCAGGTTGGATGCGGGTTGGATGCAGTTGGATGCGGGTTGGATGCAGGTTGGATGCAGGTTGGATGCGGGTTGGATGCATGGTTGGATGCGGGTTGGATGCAGTTGGATGCCAGCAGGCCACGCTGCAGTGACCCTCTGGTCTCCAGGCGGGGCGGCTCACCGGAGGCTCCCCAGGTCCAGCAGGGAGTTGTAGGCCACAGCCTCGATCTTGTTCCTCTCCAGGTAGAGGTGCGTCAGGTTCTCCATGCCCCTGATGGCTCCTGGGATCCTCCTGAAGTTGTTCTGGAAGCAGAGCAGCTCCTTCAGGGAGCTCTGCTCGATGAAGATGCGGTCTGGGATGCTGAAGAGGTTGAGGTCGGACAGGTCCAGCCTCTGCAGCTTCTTCAGCCCGGTGAAGGTCCGTGTGTGGAGGTAGCTGATGTACTCATTGTGGGCCATCTTCAGCTCCAGCAGGTTGGATAGGCCCTGGAGGTCAGAGGTCAGACATGAGGAGAAGCTGGACAGGGTTTGGTCCTGCTGGTTCCTGGGGTTCTCCTGAGGTTCTCCGCTATCAGAACCATCAGTACCACCAGAACCGTCAGAACCTTTTGTTGTGCCATATGCCATGATCCTGGTTTTTGGACATTGGGAACCAGTTTCCATATTTCATCTTGACATGATGACCAGAGAAGAGAACGCAGCCAGCTAGAAGATCTCTCCAGAAGTGTCAGAACTTCTGGATCCAGACTGGATGAGCCGCTGAGACAAAGAGGAACCCTGGTTGCTGCTCTGACTGCTGAGCTGCAGCTGGAGGAAAACTCAAGTCTTCCAAATGGAAAAAAAAACAAAAAGGTTTGCAAAAGCTAACAGGATGGACTGCATGCTACGCTATGCTACGCTATGCTACAGGAATATGTGTTGAGCTGTTGCTAAAGCTTAGACCAGCTTTATTCACTAAGGATTTAAACACTGATATAACATTAGTGTTCATGTGTTCCTCAGATGCTCGGTTACATTTCCTTTACCAAGTCTGACCAAGAGTCATTTAGTGGAATCCTGATGTCTATTCGCTGCTAGCTATTTCAAAGAGGGTAAAGAATCATTTAACTAAAGGTTATTGGTTCCTGATTAAGCAAATCATTCAATAAAACATTATTTGGCCAAATCATGTTTATTCACCTCATGGATTTGCATTGTGAATTGGTCTGAAAACATTCCAATTTCTCTAAAATTAGTGAAAAGCTAATTTGATCAGATCCCAAATTCTTCCAGATAAACAAAAATCCATCTTAAACTGTAATCTGGTTTTCAACCATGTTTCCTTCCTCTTTGTACATAGTAGTTAGTTTAGCTAGTTGAGTTTTACTAGTCTTAGTTGAGAGTTTTAAACTGAAATATGTTTGACTTGGAGCTGAATGATTTTTGTTAATAAAATCTTATATTTTGAACAGAAGTGGTGAATTTATTCCATTAATGTGCAGAAATAACTGTTTGACCATGATTAGAGCTGGAATCACTCTTTCATCTATTGTTCTACAACACAGTTAGTAGGACTGGGTGTCATAAACAGTATATAACAGCAATAAACATCCTAAAGTATCAGAAATACAATAGAATAGAACATAAAATCCCATCATTAATGTGAGATCCTACCTGGATGGGCATTGAACATTAATATTTCAACACATCAGAACCATCAGAACCGAACCATTTAGCTGCTCTATGGCAGAAACATGATGAGGATCTTGAAGGTTTTCTCTCTCAGCAGAAGAAAACTGAACCCTGGACTTGGTGTCTGACTGAGGAGGGGATCCAGGGACCTGATGGTTCTCTGGGACCTGATGGGACCTGATGGTTCTCTAGGACCTGATGGGACCTGATGGTTCTCTAGGAGCTGATGGGACCTGATGGTTCTCTGGGACCTGATGGGACCTGATGGTTCTCTAGGACCTGATGGGACCTGATGGTTCTCTAGGACCTGATGGTTCTCTAGGACCTGATGGGACCTGATGGTTCTCTAGGACCTGATGGTTCTCTAGGACCTGATGGGACCTGATGGTTCTCTAGGACCTGATGGGACCTGATGGTTCTCTAGGACCTGATGGTTCTCTAGGACCTGATGGGACCTGATGGTTCTCTGGGACCTGATGGTTCTCTAGGACCTGATGGGACCTGATGGTTCTCTAGGACCTGATGGAACCTGATGGTTCTCTAGGACCTGATGGTTCTCTGGGACCTGATGGTTCTCTAGGACCTGATGGGACCTGATGGTTCTCTAGGACCTGATGGGACCTGATGGTTCTCTAGGACCTGATGGAACCTGATGGTTCTCTAGGACCTGATGGTTCTCTAGGACCTGATGGGACCTGATGGTTCTCTAGGACCTGATGGAACCTGATGGTTCTCTAGGACCTGATGGTTCTCTGGGACCTGATGGTTCTCTAGGACCTCATGGGACCTGATGGTTCTCTAGGACCCGATCGTTCTCTGGGACCTGATGGTTCTCTAGGACCTGATGGTTCTCTAGGACCTGATGGGACCTGATGGTTCTCTAGGACCTGATGGAACCTGATGGTTCTCTAGGACCTGATGGTTCTCTGGGACCTGATGGTTCTCTAGGACCTGATGGGACCTGATGGTTCTCTGGGACCTGATGGTTCTCTAGGACCTGATGGTTCTCTAGGACCTGATGGGACCTGATGGTTCTCTAGGACCTGATGGAACCTGATGGTTCTCTAGGACCTGATGGTTCTCTAGGACCTGATGGGACCTGATGGTTCTCTATGACCTGATGGAACCTGATGGTTCTCTAGGACCTGATGGTTCTCTAGGACCTGATGGGACCTGATGGTTCTCTAGGACCTGATGGTTCTCTAGGACCTGATGGTTCTCTAGGACCTGATGGGACCTGATGGTTCTCTAGGACCTGATGGTTCTCTAGGACCTGATGGGACCTGATGGTTCTCTAGGACCTGATGGAACCTGATGGTTCTCTAGGACCTGATGGTTCTCTAGGACCTGATGGGACCTGATGGTTCTCTAGGACCTGATGGAACCTGTTGGTTCTCTAGGACCTGATGGTTCTCTAGGACCTGATGGGACCTGATGGTTCTCTAGGACCCGATGGTTCTCTAGGACCTGATGGTTCTCTAGGACCTGATGGGACCTGATGGTTCTCTAGGACCTGATGGGACCTGATGGTTCTCTAGGAGCTGATGGGACCTGATGGTTCTCTGGGACCTGATGGTTCTCTAGGACCTGATGGGACGTGATGGTTCTCTAGGACCCGATGTGACCTGATGGTTCTCTAGGACCTGATGGTTCTCTAGGACCTGATGGGACCTGATGGTTCTCTAGGAGCTGATGGGACCTGATGGTTCTCTAGGACCTGATGGTTCTCTAGGACCTGATGGGACCTGATGGTTCTCTAGGACCTGATGGGACCTGATGGTTCTCTAGGACCTGATGGGACCTGATGGTTCTCTAGGAGCTGATGGGACCTGATGGTTCTCTAGGACCTGATGTGACCTGATGGTTCTCTAGGACCTGATGGGACCTGATGGTTCTCTAGGAGCTGATGGGACCTGATGGTTCTCTAGGACCTGATGTGACCTGATGGTTCTCTAGGACCTGATGGGACCTGATGGTTCTCTAGGACCTGATGTGACCTGATGGTTCTCTAGGACCTGATGGGACCTGATGGTTCTCTAGGAGCTGATGGGACCTGATGGTTCTCTAGGACCTGATGTGACCTGATGGTTCTCTAGGACCTGATAGGACCTGATGGTTCTCTAGGAGCTGATGGGACCTGATGGTTCTCTAGGACCTGATGTGACCTGATGGTTCTCTAGGACCTAATGGGACCTGATGGTTCTCTAGGACCTGATGGTTCTCTAGGACCTGATGGGACCTGATGGTTCTCTAGGACCTGATGGGACCTGATGGTTCTCTAGGACCTGATGGGACCTGATGGTTCTCTAGGAGCTGATGGGACCTGATGGTTCTCTAGGACCTGATGTGACCTGATGGTTCTCTAGGACCTGATGTGACCTGATGGTTCTCTAGGAGCTGATGGGACCTGATGGTTCTCTAGGACCTGATGTGACCTGATGGTTCTCTAGGACCTGATGGGACCTGATGGTTCTCTAGGACCTGATGTGACCTGATGGTTCTCTAGGACCTGATGGGACCTGATGGTTCTCTAGGAGCTGATGGGACCTGATGGTTCTCTAGGACCTGATGTGACCTGATGGTTCTCTAGGACCTGATAGGACCTGATGGTTCTCTAGGAGCTGATGGGACCTGATGGTTCTCTAGGACCTGATGTGACCTGATGGTTCTCTAGGACCTGATGGGACCTGATGGTTCTCTAGGAGCTGATGGGACCTGATGGTTCTCTAGGAGCTGATGGGACCTGATGGTTCTCTAGGACCTGATGGGACCTGATGGTTCTCTAGGACCTGATGTGACCTGATGGTTCTCTAGGACCTGATAGGACCTGATGGTTCTCTAGGAGCTGATGGGACCTGATGGTTCTCTAGGACCTGATGTGACCTGATGGTTCTCTAGGACCTGATGGGACCTGATGGTTCTCTAGGAGCTGATGGGACCTGATGGTTCTCTAGGACCTGATAGGACCTGATGGTTCTCTAGGAGCTGATGGGACCTGATGGTTCTCTAGGACCTGATGTGACCTGATGGTTCTCTAGGACCTGATAGGACCTGATGGTTCTCTAGGAGCTGATGGGACCTGATGGTTCTCTAGGACCTGATGGGACCTGATGGTTCTCTAGGACCTGATGGGACCTGATGGTTCTCTAGGACCTGATAGGACCTGATGGTTCTCTAGGAGCTGATGGGACCTGATGGTTCTCTAGGACCTGATGTGACCTGATGGTTCTCTAGGACCTGATGGGACCTGATGGTTCTCTAGGAGCTGATGGGACCTGATGGTTCTCTAGGACCTGATGGGACCTGATGGTTCTCTAGGACCTGATGGGACCTGATGGTTCTCTAGGACCTGATGTGACCTGATGGTTCTCTAGGACCTGATAGGACCTGATGGTTCTCTAGGAGCTGATGGGACCTGATGGTTCTCTAGGACCTGATGTGACCTGATGGTTCTCTAGGACCTGATGGGACCTGATGGTTCTCTAGGACCTGATGGGACCTGATGGTTCTCTAGGACCTGATGGTTCTCTAGGACCTGATGGGACCTGATGGTTCTCTAGGACCTGATGGGACCTGATGGTTCTCTAGGACCTGATGGGACCTGATGGTTCTCTAGGACCTGATGTGACCTGATGGTTCTCTAGGACCTGATAGGACCTGATGGTTCTCTAGGAGCTGATGGGACCTGATGGTTCTCTAGGACCTGATGTGACCTGATGGTTCTCTAGGACCTGATGGGACCTGATGGTTCTCTAGGACCTGATGGGACCTGATGGTTCTCTAGGACCTGATGGGACCTGATGGTTCTCTAGGACCTGATGGGACCTGATGGTTCTCTAGGACCTGATGGGACCTGATGGTTCTCTAGGACCTGATGGGACCTGATGGTTCTCTAGGACCTGATGTGACCTGATGGTTCTCTAGGACCTGATAGGACCTGATGGTTCTCTAGGAGCTGATGGGACCTGATGGTTCTCTAGGACCTGATGTGACCTGATGGTTCTCTAGGACCTGATGGGACCTGATGGTTCTCTAGGAGCTGATGGGACCTGATGGTTCTCTAGGACCTGATGGGACCTGATGGTTCTCTAGGACCTGATGGGACCTGATGGTTCTCTAGGACCTGATGTGACCTGATGGTTCTCTAGGACCTGATAGGACCTGATGGTTCTCTAGGAGCTGATGGGACCTGATGGTTCTCTAGGACCTGATGGGACCTGATGGTTCTCTAGGACCTGATGTGACCTGATGGTTCTCTAGGACCTGATGGGACCTGATGGTTCTCTAGGACCTGATGGGACCTGATGGTTCTCTAGGACCTGATGGTTCTCTAGGACCTGATGGGACCTGATGGTTCTCTAGGACCTGATGTGACCTGATGGTTCTCTAGGACCTGATGGGACCTGATGGTTCTCTAGGACCTGATGGGACCTGATGGTTCTCTAGGACCTGATGGTTCTCTAGGACCTGATGGGACCTGATGGTTCTCTAGGACTCTGTGGGCCGAGTCAGACCTGTCTGAGACCAGACTCTAAGCAGAGCGTAAAGCGGTTGAAGCTGACTGCAGCGCCTCAGGAAGGAAACAGGAAGCAGACCTTGAACGCTCCTGGCGTGATGAAAGAGATGTTGTTGTGGTCCAGAGACAGAGACTTCAGGGAGGGCAGGGTACCGAAGGCCCGCTCCGACAGGAAGCGGAGCCGGTTCTTCTCCAGGTTGATGGCCGCCGCCTCGCAGGGGAACTCTTTAGGCAGCTGGGCCAGGCCGGCGCGGTCGCACAGGACGCTGCAGCTCCTCTCCTGGGTGCAGGTGCAAGATGGCGGGCAGGCGCGGACGCAGGCCCAGCGGGCCAACGCCGCCTCAGGCAGCAGGCTCAGCAGACACACTGCAGGGAGAAGGACACCAGCTGATGAACATCCACCACTGGGAACCAGTACAGCTCTGAGCGGCTCAAACTGGTCCTGGGAAAATATTCACAGCCTGTAAACATTTTTAGTTTATAGCTATGAAATAAAATATCTTCAATTTGGATTTTAGGGCAGAAATGGAAAAAAATCTAATAATCATTGAGTGCAAAAGCAATCAAACCCTTTCCTGATCATTAAAATTCACAGTGAAAGGAGACGGAGTCCGACCATGTGATCAAAGTACGGCCGGCATCATCTAAAGCAGGATCAGATCTATATATCTATGTCTTCATTGGTTTCCTGTTAAATCCAGGAGGAGGACAAGGACACCATGCAGGGACACCATGCTGGCCTGGGAGGAGCTGCAGGATGACGATGAGCCTGGGAGCTTCTATGTTTCTTTTTCTATGTCTGCTTCTGTCTCCTTGAACCCCAGTGGGCCTCAGCAGATGGCCGCTCACACTGAGCCTGGTTCTGCTGGAGGTTTCTTCCTGTTCAAAGGGAGTTTTTCCTCTCCACTGTCGCTACAAGCA